TTTCATGTAGTGTGCTCATCTTCTAATAATACAAGACCAAGATTATCAAGAGGAGTTCATAAAAAAAATTGGGTTGACATGTTTTCCTGTCAACAAATGCATATCCAGCAAATCAAGATATTTCTTGAAAATAACTCAGTTTTTATAAGGAATGTTATTTGAGGTAGGCAATACCTAAGGCTGCTAAGGCTTTTACCTGGATTTTTAGAAAGCAGGATCAGGTTCCTGTTTTGTCTGATTTGTAATAATTCATTAAGTCAGTTTGTTTTGGTCCTTTCCTTATGCAAATGTTTATATATTCCTTGAGAGACAGTAAGAGAGACTAATTTGACAAAATAACAATGATGGCACTCAACAGGGATGTAAGCAATCCAGCCTCAAATCTGTTTGTTGAATCAGACAGAGAAGGGACAAGCTTTTCTGTCCATGTTAAGTAGCTCTTAATAATTGTTAAGTATAATGCAATATTTCAGCTGTTGTGCAATATTACATAGCAGTTCATGTTTTGCCTTGCTATAAGGAAGGTTACAGATAAGTGACAAAAAATAAAATAAGAATGAAAACGTATTAAGTATTCTGAAATTCCAAATGACTTTTTTTCCAAAATTTATTTAAATAACATGATAATTCTGACTTTTCAATATTAGGCTGAGGTAGCTTGTTTTTGAAATGTCTAATTCTTCTCTGTAGAAATGGACTGGTTTTGATGAAAACACATTGTGACAAGGAATGCACACCCATCTCTAATCAGGAACACCTGAGAATGAGGCTTACATTCTAAAACACAATTTAAATTGCACTGATTGCTAGAGACGGAGGTGATGATATATCTTTATGCTTCTTGTTGTAGAAATTCCCTTGGAGGCCAGTTGACCTCACAGTAACCTCTCCTGCCCAACAAAGTCTTTCTAGACTAGATTTATTACACAACTCTCTATGTCTGACATTTATGCACATAGCCAGTCTTGCGACGATCAGTAGTTCATTAAGCTAGTATGACTTGGAAATTAAGACAAACTTCTTTGGTATGATTTCTGAAGAAGGCTGAAGACCCCTAACATTCTGTGATTCTGTAATTAAATGATAGTGTTTACAATGATTGTAATAAACTATACTAAAGCACTTCAACAGTGGATCACCTTTTTCTCCTTGCCATCTATAGTCTGATATACACATAGATTTAGATGTAAAGGAAACACGGAACATGGAGGATAAATGTGGAAGGAAAAGTAGATTTCAGAAACAGCAGGCTGTGATATTATTTGTAAGCATATAAACCCATACATTTACAAATTATGTTGGCAAAGAGAAAGGAAAACTCATCTGCTTTAGAAAGTGTCCATCTCCTTTCTCAGGAAGCTGAATGTTTTTTTCCTTTGCTGATTTTTCCTGTTCCAGAGAGCCATTGGCTATAGTGCAAAGTCATTCATCCTGCTGGCAGATCATTTCACTCTGGAGAAAGCCCCACTGCATTCACATAGGCAAACTGCAACACATTTTTGACTGCAACCCTCTTTTTATGTTCTCTGTCTAATGATACTGTGAAGAAAATAAAGAAAAACCCAGCCTCGGTGAGCCCAGACTTTTCATATAAAGTTCTCAAATCCTTCTAAAACAGGCAATAGGATATCCCAAAACATTAATTTTGCTCCCCATAGTGAACTTAGTTCCTTCTGCAGATGAGGTATGCAATGACTTAGTCTCAAGTAAGTACAGAATAATAACACCTCTGTCCCTTTCCTATTTCTCCTGTCCAAATCCAAGGTGACTGCCCAGCCCTAATCCTAGGCCAAAATAAAAGCCCTTCCCTGAATGCAAGCAGTGGCACGTGACAAATTAGATGCATTTCCAACAAGTATTGTTTTATATATACAGGAAAGAAACATATGTCTTCTTCATGCCCAAACCCTAACTCTTCTTTCCCCCAAGAGATGTAACCTCTTGTGCAGCCTGAGCTCGCAGCCTCTACTCGCTGGCAGAGAGGACTTTGGCTTAACAGGTTTCCCTTGAAGTACATTTAGTAGGAGCAGTTCTGGCTGTCAAGGAAATATGAACTGGAAAGAGTAACTGTGTGCAACCAAGCAATTTTGAAACTTCCCCTAAGTGGCTATCCCTCATCTGAGCGAATAGATACCTACACCTTTAGAAACTGGACTTTAAAGAAGCTAAGATTTTTTCCTTGGCTCCTAAAACAATCTTGAACCTTGCTTTCCTTCTATGTTCAATATAATGGGTTGGTGGGTAGATTTTTGATTCTGTTTTATACATATACTTGTGTATTTCATACCATGTTTTTGAAATACAGCCTGCTTTCGTCCCAGGACAGAAATAGTTTTGTCAGAAACAACAGATATAATATTCACTTTCTTGAATTCTTATTATCTGTAACATCTTTTTTTTTTTTTTTCCCCAGTGACCAGGTATTTGAAATTGGAGTACTGGATATTTTTGGATTTGAAGAATTTCAAAAGAATATTTTTGAACAGGTGAGTGGCTATGTTTTGCTAAATTTACCATAGATGTTAAAGTTAATTCTTCTATTAACATTTTGAGTTTTAGCCAAAACGAGTGTTTTGATCAGAATATAAACACACATGGAGGCAAAAATTTGCCCTTAAAATATGTTTTTCCCATTGTGCCTATATGGGTGTGATTTAAAACCCAGGCTTTGCACAGTTATTCATCATTTTAAAAGAATCTAGTAAACAGCTACCATAGTAATTTGGAAGAGGATTAGTATCAGCACTGAAAGACAGTATAAGGAAAATGCTTAGCGTAGTCTGTTTTCATGCTTGTGGAAGTGATACTTCAACTAGATCAGTGAGTAGGAGGACAATACACTGGATTGGAAGAAAGATCAAGAGGTCTTCAGATGTCTTGGAGAAAAAATAGAACGAAAATGCTACATTATGCTAAGTGTCATTACTGGCAAATTCACCTCTGTATGACTTCACAACATGCAACTTTTTAAAAAATTGAATTACATCCATAGAAAATAAATTAAACTTTAGCTCACTGAATGCTTAAAAATCCATTACAATATCAAACATTTTTTGAATATTATGGAACTGTTTGCCCACCTTCAACATTAGTGTCTGAACATCAAAGCTCTTGTGAATTACATATTTCAGAAAGCATTAGCAACTCTACACAACACATTGAAAGAGATGTCTAAGTTATTGTTCAGTTGTTCATTCATTCTGTAATGCAGCAGAAGAAAATCAAAGCATAGAGTAGAAAATCAAAGCATAGAAAAGAATAGAGATGGCATCAGCAACAACAAAGGACCTGCTATTGTTTGAAATTAGAATTTGCCCCTTCATCCCAGTCAATCCGTTGTTTTATGGCTCAACTTTCTTTTTCTAGTGAAATAGAAGTCATAGAGCCACATTAGTTCAGTTCATGTAGCATGTTTACACCACTACCCATTTTCCAAATATTTGAAAGCACAAACAGGGTGAGCTTACCTTTACCTTCAAAACATCAGGTCAGAATGCAATGAAACATATTCCAGTTCCCCTCGTACAAAAACTCTTTTTGCTGTTACAGTTCTAGCTTACTTGAACATTTCCTGGATTAGGGACTAGAGATGTGTGCCAATATTCACAGTCATTTACTCAGTGTGAATGTCTGCTTTGGGGGAAAATATCAAGTGAAAATTAAAAAACATTTTAAGAGACTGAATATATGCAAAAAAAATTCCGTAAAACCTACTGATTAATAAGGATAAAGTATTCTATGCTCCTCAAATGCATCTCAAAAGAGAGAAGTGTGTCTTGAGACTTACTGGTTAGTTTCCTTTGACTCTATTTTTCATTGTTTTTTTGTCATGAAACTCATATAAGTTCTGCAGCTGACATCATCAAATACCATGAATTCCAGTTTCTCGGGTAAGTCATTTTCTGCTTAGTGACTGCAGAGGATGCTTGAAGAGAAAGTATGAGACTTAAAGAAAAATTAGTAAAAAGTAATTTATGTTATCATTTCTGCATAGCAAACATAATCATTTCAAAGTCAACTTTGTTGGATTTTTTTTCTAAATAAATATATTTCAAGCGACACTTACTGTCCCTCTACTTGGACCAAGTGCATTTTGTTGAGTAATGTTGAGTAATACCCTGAGTCATTACCTCAGAAACTACTGAACTGCATTCCTGAAAAGATAGAATAGAGGTGAGGGAATTATAGAGTTTATTTTTGTATGAACTCTGTAATATGATTAACACATCTGATTCCTGAAGTGATAGGTTGCAGTTCAATGAAGAGAAGAAGTTTGTATCTCCACATGGGACAATGTAATCACGCAGCCATACCCAAAACAGCCTACACTCAAAGCTCAAGCTGTCTAGCAGTCTAGCCTAGTTCAGTATTCTGCCTGGGCTCATTAACCCTGATGATAAACAGGCTTCTTAGCCCAGGTAGGGTCCTCATGAGAAATATTGCATCATGTCTGCAAACATGCCCAGTGTCAAGGCCTGTGATTGCAGAACGTGAACATTAAATGTAACAGCCAAACGGTGGAGGAGCCATAAAAATTACTTTTTCATCACATTTAGATTAACATATTTTAAAATGTCATTACAAAAGTAATTTGGGGAAAATGAACCTTTTGTTTCAAATTAGTGTAAGACAAGGCATTCTTTGTGATACCTGTTTGCCTGCTTTCATGGAGAAAAAAAAAAAATTGCAACTGTTTTCAAGAAAGATTAAAACCTCCTGATTGCCCAAATCTGGGGACATTCCAAGCAGCTGCATGCATCTTTCTAGTGCTTCAAATCAGGTCAGTTGATGGATAGTTTAATATCATAATTAAGAGAGCAATATGATACTAAATCACATGTCAATTTAAGCAATTCATTTTAACAGACTGTGTTTGAAGGTGTTTCAGGAAGAGAGAGATGGATAAACCAGGTAGAATAACTTGTTCACTCCGGTGAGTGTGTTGGAATGACAAGGCATTAGAGTATTGAAATGTCAAAGGCAAATGAAGAATTGGTCTAGGAATGGTTCATGAACAATGCATAGGACAATAGATGTCAAAGAACTAGAAAAGTAAGGTTAATTATATCTACACCAAGAATATGGTAACTTCTGCAGGCAAAATGATGTGACTGACAGCTTGCAAGGAGAAAAGTTTTATAGACAATTAACAACGAAGGCTGCATTAGACGTTAAAAACAGTATTAATTAAGTGCTCAGATTTCCTTGTAATCAGTGAGCATTGGTAAGCCTTCATTTTCTAGAACATGTGTGATGATACATTATATTTTTAAGAGCAAAAATAGGACACATAATTCTAAAATAATAGTAAATAAGTGTTTGGAAAAAAGCGACAGTGAGTGGAGTTGTGATTTTTGGTATCAAACTTAAAAGTCGAAAGACAGGGCATGGTGTTTTTTAGAAACCACAGTCTGAGGGAGTCATTGCTCAATAAAGACTGAAAGCTTCTGAATTACCAGGACTCCGTGAGTTACTGCTCATCAGCTGAGCTGTGGTAAATGACTACAGTACACTTTTAGCTCACCCCAATTACAATTTACAATCACTTCCTAGCAATGATCATTAGCTTGGGAACAGCATTTTCCTAGAGCAGCTGCATACCTGCTGTGCCAGAACAGCTTTGTATACAGCTACACTGGAACATGGTCAGAAGTGAGCACAGATTTGTCTGCCCTATTCTATATAGAAATGGCCTTCATTTTGTGATCATTTCAGGAAATATGAGTGCTCTGCCAAAAATAGCCATGGCAGTTTTCAGTGTTAGTTTTCACTGTTTTCTTAGGTTTCCTTGTTTGAGAGGGACTATATTTCTTTACAGTCTAATCTGCACTCCTTTAAATGTAGAAAATATCTGCTTCCCTTCTGGTAGAGTTTAAAACTAGGTCAGATCTTATTCATGGTTCCTTCACAGCACAACTCCAAATAATGCAGTCAAGAAATGCTGCTATGTTCTTTATACCTTTATGCTAGTATATTCTTTGACAACAAAAGCACGTAACACAAATGAAAGGAACTCATGGCCACTGAACATAACAAGCGATAAGCAGGAGGGAAGGCTGATAAAGTTGCCTGTATCATTTTCCCCTAATTGTTTCTCAGAAAACTGTATTACAGCAGAAGAACCAGACCTTGAAGTAGCAAGAGTAGCTTTTCTTCCCCCTGCAGAAAGTCGTGTCTTTCTACAGAAATGGAGGTCTGTAGTTGTGGAAGCATCATAAAGAGCAATAATGCAGTTAAATAAAATAGATTCTGGTAGTCTTTTCTCCCTAAGTCTAATTCAAGTGGTAAACTGAAAAAATATTTAGCTCTTCCTAAACAATGTGTTTAGCTCTTGCATGGTATTTTGCCTCTGTAGACCTCTTAAGTTTTGCAAAAGAAAGTGTATATATATATCTATATATATATCTCCTCTTTTTTATAGGAGTCTCTTGGCTCCCATTCAACCCTATACCCATTAAAGTATGTGTGCATTGTCTGTGTGATGCAGTAGAGTGCTGGGAGAGGCATGGCTCCCATGGCAGCTCCGTGCAGCACATCCCTCGCAATAGAAGCCAGCTGGCTGCGAGAACACAGAGCGTTGCCTGCCCCACTCAGGACTTCACTTCGGAGTTGCTATTGTGAACCAGAAGAGTTCATACAACCCAGCTGTGTTCACAGGAATTTTCACCTGCATTGGGTGTGGTAGCTTTTAACTTCTCAGCGTGTTACTTCTTTAGTTAACCTTGCTGAGACTTCATTTAATTTTGTCATGTGATCTTTCCTAGCCAAAACAGCCATAACAGATTATTTGTTATTAAATTGCATTGCCTCAGCCATCAGACTGCTTCGGGCTATCCAAATGTAAGCTCATGTTGCCTATTTCATAGATGGATGGATATGAATAGATAAAAGTTACAGGACTTAACTTTTCTACAGTCATTGCGGTCTCAGTGATAGCAGATGGGAGGTCACTCCCTCAAGTTTTTTCATTCAGACAGTCTGAAGGAGCATTCCAATGTTTTGTTTTGTGCAGAAAAAATCAGCCTTCTTTGATTTTGCCTGTCCAGAGCATAGGCAGATGGTCCTGCTTGCCTCTGCACTAGCTTGTGGAATAGGTGGCTGCTGATGCACATTGAGCTCTGATACTGCGTCGGGACTGGAACGCAGAACCTCCCACTGCAGTTCCCAGTACTGAGGCATTCCTTGTTCCCCATAGGATGAGGGACAGTGCTTTACTAACTTAATACAGCCTTTAACAAGGAAAAATAACGTGATATTTTTAAGTCAGAATTTTGCTAGCCTCCACGCGTGGGGAGGTTTTGATATCCTTGTTGTGAAGCAGCAAGAGCCAGCTGATCCTTGACATAAGGGAGCCAGACATCAAGGCTGGCTTTGCTGGCGATACCCTCCCTGATGGGCACCATCCAGCAGGGCCTGAGCATGGCGGGCAGAGCCAGTGCCAGTAATGGCACCCATCAGCGGCCCTGACACAGCAAGCAGCGAGCCGTGGCTGGGGTCCTGTCGGGAGCAGCTGAAGACAGGGCTGGAAACTGGCACTGCCATGGGCAGGGTGTGGGCGGCGGTCCCAGGAAAAGCTGACTGGGGCTGTAAAAGCCTATTCCTGCCCTCAGGGGCCTGGCAATCCCGTGTTTTAATTTGTTCCTCGACCCAGTTTGTGTAGATCTTGTGCTCTGCATGGCTTTTGTCATGGTGTACCTCCATTCCCTCTCAGCCTCTTTGGTTCTTTTTCCAGTTTGCACGCATTCTTTTCCATTTGTGCAGGACACTATTGTCTGTCCAGTGTTCCAGTCAGCCACTGGAAAACCAGCGCTACTCGGTTTTAAAGTTGGCTTGTCAAGCACCTGACATTAACATGTTTATTTATTCTTTTATGGTAGACACTTTAAGGCTGAAAATAAAACCATTTATCTAAAATTGAGATTTCCAGCTAGATTCAGTTTGTGATTGATTGGTGAAATGCTGCACAATGACATTTATTACTGATATCTTACTTTTCCACAACAGCACTCTTTTTTATCCTACACTATTTAGTTGCTGGTGCGCAGTATGAGCAAAAAAATAATTAGGAACTATTTCAGTATCTTTAATTCCAAATTCTTTTGAGGAAAGACTGTTGCTACCATATTTGTTTGCTTGTTTGTTTAATACTTTTATATGTACAAAATCAGGTGGGAGACTATTCCATTTTGTATTGAAATTGTGTCCCTTTTGGAGGGGCTTTTCACACCCTCCTTTGTGGAGGGGTATCACTTTTCAGGTGATAGCCACCCATAATAAAATTTTAATATAGCACTGGATTCTGTTTTACTTTATTTGAGGAACACAGGTCAGCTAATGGCAACTGACCCCGGATATTACATGAATTCCCGGTAAAATAAAGTTCTCCTGACAGAGAGGCAGAAGGGCTATGTTTGAATTTGTGTTAGAGCTGCATGGAAAACAAGAAATCTGTATTAGATTCTATTGCCCCTAAAAGGCAGAGGAAGAAATATAATGGGTTCTGGTTGTGTTATATGAACTTTAAAAAATATTCTGATTGGTACTCTGCATACAAAAAAGGATGTGGAAGCGTTTGGATAGCAGATATAAGGGCGAAGAGTGACCAAGGTACTTCTGAAAAATAAGTGATTACTGACCTTGGATTAAGAAATATTTTCTGAGTCCAACCTCAGTAAATAGAAGATGATTCTGGCGTCCATTATCTTAGAAGTACATTTTTGAGAAATGCTAGAGCACATCCTTGCAAATTAAACTTGGCATTGTAGCTTCATCATCTTGGCCTATAACATACGGCCTGATAGATGTGTTGATATGACAGCTGTAAGCTTTACTCTATGCTCTGAATACACATCGCTTGAGAGAGTTAATCCTTCTGCATGACCAAAGAATGTAGATGAGCTTTCCAAAGGGTGTTTACGTCCCTGATTCCCTCACTGATTGACAGTCACCAAGTTTTCTTTTCACAAATTCCCTTCTTTTGGCGATGCCTTTTCAAATAGTTATTTATATAAAGTGAAGAGTAGGAAAATTTCATTAGTCATAGGTGCTTTTCTGTCTTTAAAGTACAGTACAATTTTGATCTTCTACCTAAATTTGAACGGGGAGTATACTTAATAGTCCTAACAGGTCAAATGTGGTAAAAGAAAAGAGATCAAGCTGACATTGTCTACTGTGATGAATACTTATTGCTTTTACCAAATATTACTATATTATTTTCCAAATTCTACAATGTGGATGATACTGCAAGTTGTTTGTTTAAATACTTGAACAAGAATTTTATTTTTTTTCTTCTAATATTATTCTAGAAGTACTTTTTAATGAAGACCTGTACAACTAGTTGGTGTATGTTTTCACTGAAACATGATAGTAAGTTAGGATTAGAAAGACAGACAGATAGAAAGGAGAAATTCTTACAGAACAGACATACAATGCAGCAAATAAAAGGCGTGTAAAGAACAGTTTAACAATGTTCAATGACAAAAAGTGCCATAGGTAATGTTGAGTAATGCTGCAAGGTAAAGCAAATATACAGTGCTTAAAGGTATTTCTACAACATTTGTTTTAGGTAAAAATTTCATTGTGTTTTCTTTTATTACTACTATATTTCTATCTGATTTTCATGGATGCAATTAAATACATGTTTAAAGAAATGTAATTTTCTGAACTTTTCATCTCTTGGACAGAAAATATGTCATTGTTTTATATAATATTTCATGTGGCACGGAGCAAAAGAAGTTGGGTTAGCAAAGCTAGTTTAGTCTTTTTCCCTGATTTCTACATTTCGGCTGTTTCAATTATTGTATCAACCTGTGTCAGGCTTCAAATTTGAAACATTCATTTTATTGCCTTTTCACAGCAGGTTGTATAAAACATTGAAATGGTGAAAGATATGATCAGAATGTCTTGCTTTTCAGCAGCCCCTGGCTGGTGTCCTGGTTCTCGTTCTGCAGAGCTGTTGCTCACAACCACTGCTAGAGAGAGCAGTTCTGGCGCAGCTTCCAGTTTGCGTAAGCGCTTGCGCTTGCTTTCTGGTGTGGTTTGCAGAACCTTACTGTCGTTATGGCAAGTCTGCCAATCTGAATGACGATATTGCTTGTATTACTAAAAAGCACATCAGTGTATGCCATAATATACTGATCAGTAGAATTTATAAATGTGTTTTTTTTCTTTACCGGCCCAGTGTGTTATGTATGACTATTTTAACAAAATATTATGCCTTTTCGCAGTTAAAAGCAATGCTATTCATCAGATCTTTTTAAGATATGACTAAGGCAGTCTTTCCCTTTGGCTTGAATTGTCTAGTTTAATAATTTTGCTGCACAGTCAGGTTCTCAATTACATTTATTGATCTTTATGTATTTTAGGAGATTAGCACATGATAAAAAGTAAGCTTGAGTTTATAGTGATTTTGTCAACTTTTCTTTTGGTAAAAAATGTTAAATGACATGGTTCTCTAAATAACTCACTTGCAAATAAAGATATACACAGCATACATAATTTCAAAGCTTTACATATCCTGTAAGGTATAAGCTTGTAATGGTATGTCCGCCTTCTAAAATAATGCTAAGAAGCTTCTGAAAAGATTTTGTAATTAAAATGCAGAAAGTGAACAGTGAAGCATGTCTTGCTTGCCGCGAAGTTAAAAAAAACCTGTCCTTTTCCATAAAATAAGTAACCTAAGTCAATGGTATACTTTCATTATAAATAAAACAAGATAAGAATCTGAATCTTCAGAAATCCCACTTTTAAAAAATAATGCTGCTGTTCTAGATTGTGTTTTGTCTGCGCTATCGTGCATTGGTAAAGGCAGTTAGTAACAGCCATTTGGTTATAAAATGGGGGGTTTGTTTTATTTCTTCTTCCTGTTATTCCTACTAGCCTATTTCACTTTATAGCAAGTGGAAGTTGACTCTACTAGCATGAGGTGTTAATGGAAAATTCAGGCAGCTATTACACATTACTTGGGTTCTTTTCCCTCATCTGAATGTTAAGCCATGTACTTTTAGGACTGATCTAAATATTTCATATTTTTTAATATGACTTGCTAGTGGAATTGCTTTTACACACTTTGTTCATGGAAGGTATAGTTAATGGCCAAAAAAATATGTGACTAATTTGGGCTGAAAGGAGACTGCGTGCAAGCATTCCTTGCATCATTCCTCATATAAAGGGTTCTTGCACCCTTTCAGGAGTTTCTGTTTTCTTAATTTCTTAGTGATAGTTATTACAGCATTGGAGGACATTTTAGAATTTTCCGCATAATTTCCACTTTAGTATAAATAAAACAGTTAAAACATTTATTCCACAGAGTTATAAAATATTTATTTTTTTTGCAGATTGTGAGCTTTGAATAAAACATGAAAGATCCCAAAATTAGCTGATACAACTCCCACCTGTTTTTAATCGAAAATAGATTCCTATTAAACTATTTATTTTGCAAAAGTGGCACTATACCTCTTATAAGGCAATCAAAGAAAATATTAGAGAGGCTTTTATATTATTTATCACTCCAAACTTTGAACTTTTCTAGTGAAGAACATTTTCTTGCCAACCTTCCCTTAGAATATCAATAGAATGGAGAGAAGCATCTAGTAAAATTTCCCTTTGGAAATTTATTTGGGCAAAACACAATGAGTTCTTCAGAAAATGCTTTAGACTTCAGTGACACTCTGTGGGGTTTGAATGTTTTCGTTAACATTGAACTAGCTACAGAGTCAGGATCTTAACCAAATATGTATATTTTTTCTAAAAGCACACTGCATCTGAGTAGTCTTCCTGAATATAAACTGCAGAAGAATATTAAGGGTACTGATTTATACATAGAGTTACACTACTTTGATCAATGGGGTTAGTGTAAATTTGCACTATATTTAACAATGCTGGTATTTGATGTTTCTTATGTGGAATTCACAATGAACCGTGCAGGCAGAAAACTGTTTATTCTCAATTTAATACTAATAGCTGTTAAAACATCAATTTCCCAAGGGTCTTGCTAATCTGTGGTCTACCAAGAGGCAACATGTTGTGGATTGACATTTCATCAAATTCAATATGAGATGTGCAGTAAAACCGACACCGATGAATTATGCAGTAAACTTCTAATACTCATTTTTGCTTGGTTTTACAATAGCTGTGTGTCAACATGACCAATGAGAAGATACACCAGTACATCAATGAAGTGCTTTTCCTACAAGAGCAAGCAGAATGTGTACAAGAGGGAGTTGCTATGGAAACAGTGTATTCTCCTGGTAACCATACTGCAGCCTTGGATTTTTTCTTTCAGGTAGTTTTCAGGCCCATTTTACCCTATGTATATTTATACATAGACTCTGCAAGTTAAACTAATAAAAACTTTTGCCTGCATTTTCTGATTTATGAATCTGTAGAGAAGGTTATGGGTCCAAAGAGACCACAGAGAGGGATTGTCATAACTGCCTTCATAGCTCAAGGACTAATAGAGCTTTCTAACAGTCCAGGGTTGAAGAAGATGTAATAGAAACTCCTTGCCTGTGCTGATTCATGTGTAGCATCTGTGTGTCATACCACGTCCTTAATACAGCTGTAGGACTGACGAGCCTCTGTTGTAGGCCTGACAGTTTCTTTTGTCCCTGAAGCTAGTTTCTGGAATATACCTTTTAAGAAGAAGTAGCCCAATCAGTTTCCTAAAAGACCATCAATAGTTACCATTTATGGCAACTGAAATATTATTCCATACATTTCTTGCACAGTTATCTGATGTGCAGAGCCTTGGAGATTTACCAGAATATTTTAACCATTTCTTCCTTTTCTTTGAGGTGATAGATATTTCTGTTTACTAAATTACAAACCATTTTACTCTACAAGGAACAACTGAAATTCTACGGCTCCTGTCTAAAACGAGAAAAATCTATTTTTCATTTCAGAAACCATCAGGCTTTTTGTCAATGCTGGATGAAGAAAGCCAATCTATTTGGTCTGTGGAACAGAGTCTTTCTAAACGTATTCAGTCTTACCTGGATACATTAGACACAAATACAGTATATTCCTCCACAAAAGATGGAAATGGTAACCTTGCCCCAAAGGATCAGGGCTCCACCTTCACTGTTATGCATTACGCTGGGAGGGTAAGTAGTTTGAATGATTGGTTATACACAGTTAATGAAAAAGAGTAAACAAAATTCTGCATGGCTTCTCCAACTCCTAGCTGTAAATAACAATTTGGTGTCTAGTGATGAATTTTCAGAGGACAACTTAGAATCTCTGCAATATCTAGGGTCTAAAATTTGTAGTTTGTATCATATTGTGCAGGTTTCGGGCTACCTAATTCTGCCTCCTAAATTGTGTCTTCATTTTAAGCACTTCATGAAGAAGGGGGTGATTCAGATACCTCAGCATAAATGTTTAATGCCATTTTAATTGGCTGTCACATTTCTTTTGGATGTTTTTCCACAATAGTATAGGTTCCATGTAGATACTGAGCCACATAAGTAGATACTGTGGATACCAGCATGCATCTGGTAGAAAAAATAACATGTTTTTTTTTGTTAGTAATCGTAATTAAAAAATATTTTTCCCCTTTTTTACTTCAAAATCTCGGAACATGCTAACTGTCTCTAAATATGGCTGTAAAAGAGGATGAATATTTCTCATTTACGTTTCTGCAATGTCCACAGGAGAAGCATGATCAATTCTGTTAAATAGACCTCTTACCCTTTTCTTTCCAATATGCTCTCATTTTCACATTGTCTCCACAACAACCCACAGCCCAAAGCAAGGAAAACAGGTGTGTGTTTAACGGGATAATAGGGGTTTTTTAGATAATCTGACAGATTGGCCCCTCTATGATTAATCTGACATGCTGCCACTTTTCTCTCTTCAAAGTATGGTATTTGAAATGAGCTCATGAATGTACGTTGTGTGGGCACAATACAATGGGGGCTCTTAGTTATTCCTTTCCAAACTTTCCATTCTTATGAGGTGTGTTCAGGACTTGTCTGTGAGTCACCAAAAAAAAAGACTTGCTGGCTCTGTCATATCTCAAGGTAACATTATATGCCCTGAGCTCTCCAGAACAGAGAGGTTGGAATGTGCATGCTTTGGCTTCTTTAACCAGATTAGGGTCCTTTACAACACTATAAATGGGGAAAGGTCCATGTCGTGGCTCCTCATTTGGAAACAAAGTCGATGGAAGTGTTGAGTAGCGTTCTGACACAGGCAAATTTGTTCCAGCCCAATGATAGAAATGTGGTCATTATGGAAAGGATTAAGACTATTTGGGCAGTGCTTAAATTCCTAACCTAAATGCTCTGAATAACTCCCTGGAGGCTTTTCTTTCTTCATAAGGCCTTCTACTTAGACTCCAATTATTTGCCAAAGTTAAGTGGTTTGAAAACCTTCACCGTTGGGACTTTCCAGTAGGAATGCAGGCACACGCAGTGGTTAGATAACAGCGCAAGGAAGATTTTGTGAAACTTATTAGCACTTAAAGTGCTAAGTTAAGAAGTGACCGTGGACTCCAGACTTCTAATTTCATTTACAAATCTGTTCTATACCTGTTAGTTTTTCATGGAGTTCTGTTGTGATTATTCAAATTTTTCACAATAGCTCTAAAAGGTTCCACACACAAAAACAATGACACAGAAACAGCAGCAAGGCAACTGCATTAAAATCACAACCAGAATAATAAGCACATTTCTTCAAACTTAAAAAAACTGCTTGTCTTATTCTCTGAAGAAGTCAGTAGGAAGTTTTGTTAGCATCAAAGTTTCAGATGCCTAGTTCTGAAAGTTAAACAGTGCGTGGTAAGGAGTACACTTTTCCTTAACGTGTGTTTTAGCCTTGCAATGGTTGTTTAGATTTTTTTTTTAATAACATGGACACTTGGTTTGACCTTTTCCTAATAATAGTAATGACATTTAATCCAAAGGTATGAACAAATAGACAGCTCTTGCAGTAATGTAAACTCACACGTTCTTTTGAAGTCAATGGAAATCCTTTGATTTACATTGGCCAAGGAACTATTCCAGCCAGTCAGATTGTTCTTTGCATCCTTAGGACAGTAAAATGCTTAGCCCTGCCAAAACAGAAAAGTTCCCATGCAAGTGCTTAGCTCGCCTTACTTTAATACTGATTGAGTAAAATCCTTAAAGACACTTGCATTTTTGATATCTCGTGGAACTGTTATCTAGCTATCATAGATCGAAATTTCCAGTGATTTATGATATGTGTTCATGTAAAATCTGATTATAACATTACTGTATTAAATAATGACACAAACTAAGTTTATTCTGAGGCTAGTTGATAAGTTGAATATGAAAAACTAGGATTTTAAAACTGCTGATGCTGTTCTTTAGATTGTGCTATTACTGCATTTAGTAGCTTTTTATAGAAGTCATTTGTGATTTACACTTTATGAAAATTTTTGAAGGATGAGACTTTTAAATATATCAGGTTTTATTGGCACTCAAAAATAAGAATTTAATGTCTAAAGTAACAGTATAGTTTGGCAGGTTTTGAGAGCCATTTTTATAGTCTGATATCAATTACATGAGTCTAAAGTGAGTGAAATATAAAGCAATCTTTCTCTGCGTCGTAACCTTCAGAGATCCCCAAATTTGAAACAAGGGGGCTTGATTTTATTCTCACTTACCACAATTTTTCTCTGATTGTAACTCTTTTAACTTGGTAAAGTTTCTCATTATTTACATGAGTATAACTGAAAGATGAATCAGACCCAGAGGGTAGAAAAAGAATTACCAGTAAAATGTGACAGGTAATTGAACATGAAATTTCTCACTTCTAGGCTTAATTATTTGTATTCAGGTGATATTTCTAGGCTAGTGTTTGTGGAGGAAGTCCACGGATGCAGGCTTTGTGTTAAACAAGGGTGAAGGTAGACATCCTGATTTCTCTAGGTAACAAATGTAACTGCAATTCATTTCACAGCCATTGTGAAAGAGCTGCTACTCCAAGTCATCTAGAGAAAAAAAAAAGCTAATGTACTGTATTGGCCTTGGTATGAATCTCATATGGACCCTTGCAATTTGGGCTGCTTTTGGTCAGTAGTTTATGTACATAGCTCAAAGTCCAGAAAGAGTTGGGTTCATATCTTTACTCAGACACTTATGGTAACTATTTTATCAACTCATAAACACAGTTATACTGGAAAACTCAGACATTAAAAATACTACCTCACTGAAGAGACCTCTTCTTTATATTTAATTGAGATTGACAGACAGCCTTTTGTGAACAAAAGTGATATCTCTAGCTTTATGTTATGAATTACTGTGGATACAGATGTGTCCATGCAGTTTTAAAGACCTCTAACGTGTTCGTATCTTAATGTTTTGGTCGGAGTAGTCATAGAAAAAATATCTTTTCTTCCAGTATCAAGTCCTTTTGATTGATCATGATCATGGATTGTCGGGTATTGCCCATTCCCTGATGTTTTATGCTCAGTAGCTTTTCCTAGGACTACAGATAACATACTGTTATTCCAATCCTAGTTAGCCTTAGACCATTCCAGAAAACGCAGTACTGAGAGAAAGGAGAAGAAATAACAGGTCGGAAGTGAAAAAAAGAAAACATTAGGTCAAAGTGAGCCTAAGAAGGCATATGGGAAGGAGAGGCTCAGAGTAATGTGTGAGGGAAAAGATCCTAAATAATTTGGGATCCATACTTGAATTTCTGGTGAAAAAAACACTTTAAGAAAATCTGTATGTATGATAACATTCTGAGAGACCTTTGATTTTTTTTTTTTTTTCTTTCTTTACTGTTTTGGAATTAAGAGAGTGGAAAAAAAAAGGAAAACAATGTGCACAAGTAAGCTTCTGCACATAGAAGGTGGTGAGATTTTTCAGTGGAAGCTGAGAGAGAATACTGTATTACACAAATGTGACAGAATAATCCTGTGGAAGAAAGAAAACCACTTTTTATTCATTTATCTTGAATTTTACTATTATGCCGGCACAACACTGAATCTGTCTTTTTCTGCATGAGCAGTATGATGCAGTTGTTAACTGTATGAACACGTGCTCAGCAAAGGCCACTGTGACCGTTAGTACATGATCATATCAAGCATTTTACTTTATCTCCCAGTTTTAATTTTGCAGCTACAATGCCTTGACACATTATGAGTCTCTTCTAAGTGCTATTTAATATCTTGGTATCTGAGTGCTATAAGACAAAAAGCTTATCTGTTCATTTCAGGCAGAAGGTAGAAAAGAATGATTTAGCATCTGTATGACTGGAAAAAATCCTAGTGGAAGGCTTTGTCTGCGGGTTGTTTAACACATTTCCCTGAACACTGTCGATCTGATCTCTTCTGGAAAAAATCTGCTCAGCTGGGGCATTGCTTTGTTTCTGATGCCTAACATGAATGTGGTTATTCTCAGCTGCTTCTCATGGAAACTGCCTGCCTGGCAGCATCGGGGAGGAGAGGCACGCCGGTTCCATGCTGCATGCTACAAGCTTGCCTTGAGGGAGCAAAGTGTTTTATGGGTGCAGTTGATCAATGCATCTGACCATCAGCTGAAACTATGCTAAGAATGTGTAATACTGAATTTCTAGGTGCTTTTATTGATAATATTAATATTTACATTGTGGGCTTTCAAGTAACAAAGGTCTTCACATGAATTATATCTCTGAACTGTCAGCTGTACCAATAGTGAATTTGAAGAGCAGCATCCCATCACTGAACTTCCTTGAGGACTCAAAGTTCTTTTTTTTTAAATTTTATGGAAGAATTAATGTATCAGTAAGTAAATCAGAAATATAATGTCTTAGCACGATGCCAAGGGACACAGCTTTACATAATAGTGGTATTTAACATACCAGTGTTTGAGATAATGAGCTATTTGCCCCATTGTTCATGTAATCTGAATAATAGGTCATCATAATGTAAGCATTCTGCAGTTTATACTTGAATTTACAAATCAGATAAGCCTCTTGTCACCGTTTGCCTTGCCACTGTTTTGACTTCTAGTACTGTAATAAGCCGATCAGACCTAAAGACCAACTTCTTTGCTTTATAAACCAGTGCACATAATGTCCTTTAAGTGCAGATCAATGTCTGTTCCATTTCTCAGCTATGTGCATTTCAAAAATACCACTCAGCTGTCAGCTCACCTTCACCAAGGCAGTCTTCTCTGAAATGCCTTATACATCCCAGGCAGACTCTGAAACTGAACCTCTAAATCAAAAGACAAAAGCAGATGGATTAATCAATAAGGATGCTTTAATTTTCTCTATTTTTTCCCCAGGCTGAATCCCCAGACATAACAATCAAATCAGTCTAGTCTAAGCTATACCAAGGCCTATAAAGGTTACTTGACAAAGATTCTCTTTTTCACGCAGACAAGATTGTTGTGCTTTTTCTCCCTTTCTCTCTCTCTTTTTTTAGAAAGTAGACTTGATTTTGGACTTTCACTTACAGGAGAAAATAATAGAACACTTCCACCCACCCTCCTATTTTATTTCTAAATATCTACTGTTTTCTGTATCCTACTGCTTCTACTACAGTGTTAGAATAAGACTTTACAGACTATAAAATTACTTACTTCACCCATCGTTTAACAAGACTTGTTTCGGGAGGGTAAGAAGTCCAGTGATCCTAAAAAAAAATGGTACATTCATACATTTAAATGATATCACTCATAAGTACTGGCAGAAAATTAACAACTGCAGGTGACCCTCTGTGCACTGAAATTGTCCTTGGACATGTTCTCAAGAATTTCTTTTTTAACTATATGAACTGATTATTTTCTTATTAACTAAATTTAACAACATATGCAAAACTGTGAGTTTCTGGGTTACATTTTGCTATTAAAATAGTAAAATTCTCTGGTTTAACTGTGAATGCTGCCAAATCAACCTTAACACTCCAGGTGGCATTTTCCTAGGTTGTTGTAGGATTCCTGATGGATCTGCCATTAACCATGAGTGCTTTTGGCTTATCACAAGATATGAAAACTATTTACAAAAAAGAGTATTAGAAGGAATTGATGAAAATTATGTGTAAAGGTTGGCCCTGTTGATAAAGTTTATTGGGAAATCAAATAAACTTAGATAAAGTCCCTTACCAAAGTCAGATGTTATGAGGGGGAATACTTAAGTTCAAAAGACTAGATGTACAATAGAATGGCATGAAGATAATTGACGAAGCAAAGAGACAAAGAGTATATAAGAAGATAAGAGGAACGTGCAATTCCCAAAGTTAGCTCTATGCACATTTAGTGTGTGAGCCTCCTGTTTTCTGGGTGTTGTTTTTCTTACCTCTGATTTGTATCTGCTAGTTCTCATTATATTAAAACTAGCTATGTCAAGTTAAATGACCAGAAAACAGGTTCAAAACCAAATAAAATTAAGTTGGGGTTGATTTTTTTTGCATAGGTAGCAACTAGTGAAACTCCGTAACCACAGAGTGTTTAGATGCTGAAAATGTTAATGAGTTCTGGAAACGAAGTCTTGAGGAGGAAACGTCAGTCAAGAGATATTGAACACAAAGATAAGATGCAGCCTGCAGGTCAAGAGCTCCTCTGCCCGTTGTGGGCAGAACTCTGGAAGCTGAGAGAGAAACTGGTGGGAGGCAGAGTAGAAGTGTTCCTCAATATTTTTCCCTAAATTTCCAGGACTAGATGAATATTTGGCCTGTCCCACTACCACTGTGTTTAGGTTAAGATCTCTTCCTTTTTGAACTTAAATCAAAAAGGAAAGCAAATCCAATCCCTTTCTTGTTTTAATCTCTTTTAATAAAATAAAATGCAGTGTAGAACTGCACACTATTTTCTTATTTAATAAAAATAGTTCAACTAGTTCAGATATCTAAAGATCGTGTTTCCTTTGGTTAACATGGAGACATAGATTTACTTCATCATGTAAAGCAAGACAGAGCAAACAGCTGCAATAAATAGAAGTGAGAATAAATAATGTTTTATAATACTGGAACTGTGATCTAAGAGAGTGTAGATTTCGTTTCTGAATCATATAATATTTGGGTTTTGTCTCCTCAGAATAACTACCTACTGTGCTTGAGTGCCAGTGAGTGCAGAGTTTTGGCCAGGCTTACTTTAGAAACCAAATGGAAGAAAATGGAGGGAAATACATGTGCTTTAGGCAAAATGCTGTATAGGTTGACATCTCCGATGAGGGCAGGATTAAATTGACAAAATTGGCAGCTAGAAGAGGACTACTTTCTTTTTCTCTTTTGTGGGACTGGCAATGAATATGGAACCCTAGAGTGTCATTTCATTGAGTCAGTTTTCATGTCTTTAGGCAGTGAATTAATTTACCAAGTCTATGGGAAAACTGTTAGAGAGTTAGCAATTTCTTCATAAAAGGGAATCCTGCTAACTTTTATGTATTTTATGTGATGTGAGAGATGTCTTATGAATATAGTTGTAGAAGTTGGTGATGTATTATACCAGCACCAGTACTGAAACTTCTCCCTGTTTCAATCTAGGCATTTAATCATAATATAGTATCTCCCACTGCTATACTTACCTACTCTTCCTACCAATACTAACTCTCTTCTTCTAATTTAGTCAAAGCCTAAGACACTCAATTAAGAACTGGCATTATGGATTTGTTGAGTAAGTTCTGTTAATTATCTTTTATGGACCAGTATGGTGGAGCGCATTTACTTTAAGTACACTAAAAGCATTTAATAGTGTACTTAAATTATTCTAATAGTTTGTTAACTATGTTGTATGTTCTTAGGAGATGCAATTAGAAAATTATATAACGTTGCATCTGTCATGGAAAAGAACATAATTCTATTGTTATACCTTTTCTATGTCAGATGCCATGCTAATTACATCATTTGGCAATTACTAACTATAACAGATTATACACATCCAAGTCATATAATCTCTTTCGTGAGTAAGATAACATTACATAATTGTCAAATGACCCAATGGAAAACAAAATTGATGCACTGATTAGTATTACTAATCTTAATTACATATTTACAGCTTTATTAAATATAAAAGGATAAAATTTCACCAAATCTCTAAGGGGCTTAGGATATAGATCCAATAAAAAAAAAATAAAAAAGGCTTTAGATAGAAACATGGTCCCAAGGTAAATAAACCCAAAAGGTGTTCTAAAGAAGTTCCTACCAAGTGTCTGCCTAATCCTGGAGGTACTACAGTCTATAATTTTCTTCCTTTTTAGCTTAAAAATTCCCTTTGGGTTCTGCTACTGTGCAAGCCAGAGCTGTTTATGTCTAAAGCCCATCAGTTAGCTTGTTTGTCTTCCAGCCCCATAAAAAGTAAATAAAAAACCTGGACTCAGTGACTGCTTTTTGGTCTTAGTGTTGCTTTTCTATGCAGTGTCTCCTGGGATGGTCTCAATGTTAAGACAGCCACTTGGTCACATTTCTTCATTTTGGATGTACCCTCAGGTACTCTGGCTAGAGCCTCACATTTTGCTCACTTCTCAGAGTACCCACCACATGTGTTAAGAGTTTATCTGCAGTCAGATGACAGATGGAGTGACAATCCAACTGCCTCTTCTTGAAATTATGACATCAGGCAACAAAGGTGATCCAAAATCCTTATGTGCATAGTTGTTAGAAAGGTCAATGGGATTTGTACATAACCTATAGACTGAACTTGCCTCCAAAGATCATATAAATGGCTGAAACTTGTCTTGTGAGCTGGGACTCAGATTGCTCCATGAGTGTTTTGTCGTGGTCAATGTGAACAGTTTCCCATTGACAAGGAGATCTGTGATCTGGGAGTGACTTGCTCCTCCTACAGGGAAAGTGATGTTTAGGTCACTGTCTTCTGCTCTACACTACACTTTCTATTCAAAATCCTGCATTGTGGAAATGTTTGAGAATCAGTCTGATGAAATTTCTGTGTGCTTGCAAAGACACACAATGTTCAACAGCGAGTTCTTCAGGTTAGTATTGTTGGCACTAGGAAAGGAACAAAAGACACTACCTGGTGCCAGCCTTTAGCTGTTGAGCAGAAAAAAACCCATAGCTTCATTTCTACTGCTGAAATATTTTTTAAAGCTGCATTGGTCATTACTAATGATGTCACAATATTTTATTATAGGTTACTTACGAAATTGCTGGTGCGATAGAAAAAAATAAAGATTCCCTTTCACAAAATCTCGTATTTGTAATGAAAAGTAAGTAAATGGTTTTGCAGTTGCTGTTGTTGTTAGAAATCAAGATATTATGACTTGACTTTAATTTTCATTTTAGTTTTAAGAGAAATTTATATATATTTTATTTCCAGTAAAAAAAAAAGTCACCCTCATCTTTTTGAAATCCGTACACGTTGTTTGAAATTTACTGTAATTTAAAAAGCTTTTGGCATTCATGAACATAAAGCATCTTCATCATGTGATGGGATATAAAGAATAAGAAGGTATAGTGTGATAGATGAGTATGACTTAAAGAAATCATTGAGTATGAATTAAAACAAAGACAAACTCCAGAAAACAGGGAAAGGAAATAAGGATCCCAAAATCATAAAGACTGCAGTGGGATGTTCTTCAATGCTTAAGTACCTTTCTATAAGCAGGAACTTGTGGGCGTTCTTATGTTTTTCAGTGAATAGATACAAACGTCCGTTGAAATACAAAATTACATACCTTTCCATGTGCATATTGTATAATTATAGCTAATAATAATGGATCCCAGTTTATTAATTAATGATTCATAATTAGATTATTAAAAACCTCTACCATTTACTCTTTCTGTGAAGAAAAGCAAAACATTTTCTCAGGGAAATGTCAGCGTATCCTGAGATGTTATTTGTCTTCAACCACTGCAGTCTTTAACTTATTATATCATACACTTATATTTCTTTCCATAGAATTAGAGGTCCTTTGGAGGTCATATTTGTCTTCCAAATCAGCCCCACTGTTACAATGTATTGGCTTTTAGCAATTTTACTGTGAAATTAGCCAAACTCCCTAGTAAAATCATTCATACGTTTTAAAGGCAAGCAGTGTACATTAAAGATGAAGAAAGAAATGGAAGAATTGATCTTGAATATAATCCTATTGACTATAGTTTTAGAGACATTCCAGTTCTCACTACTTCAAATTTACATGGCAATCTGCCAAAGAGTATAAGAAGGTATGGCAACTTTCAGTATGTTCCATAAGAGAGAATGTTTTTCCATTCTCTCACATAGTCTCCTTTTGCACTTTTGTTGCTCTTTTGTGTAATCAGCAATGCAACTGTGCAAAGGGAAGAATGGAGGATTAGATTGGCTATAAATTGTTTGATACACTGAGAGTGAGTGTATATGTAATTAAGAAGTAATGACAATAACAATTATAATTAGTGGAAAAATTCTGAAGGCAGAATATTTACAGGCATGTAAGTCATTTAGGGGCTGTGTTCCTTCTTTTTTAAGTGACTTAGGCTTAAAACCTGTTGATTGTCAGTGACATTTCCTTTAGGTTCAGTTTCATAAGTTATGTAGATGTATACCTTAAGTGCATGCTTCCTTTGATTTTCATTGAATTTGGTTTCTTTAATCAAAACTTTTAAATATGCTAACAATATTGAAGTAATTTGCATATATGTATAAGAATGTGGAACATATCTCTCCAACAAATAAATCAGGAGAGACTGTTGACATAGGTTTTATCTGTCTTAATTTGAAGGACATTATTTTAATGCCTGTCCTAATGCTACTTATTACATTTATCCATATTTTTAAAATATGGAGGTTTACTGTGTCCGCTGAATGTGCTGAAATTGTTTTAAGTATCTGCTTTACTATCTTTCTCATAATTTTATTATTCCTGTTAAGTAAGGAATAGTAATCTCCACAGAAAAAGGGAAACAAATATAGTAATACACCTTTACACAGCTAATAAAGAGCAAACTTAAGATTTCTACCTGCTATGCTAAACTTAATGAAATTATTTATGATGCTTATCCCATTCATCTTTCTGGGTTTTTTTGTTTCTTTTATTCACATGATGGCTGTGATCATGTCAGTTTGTTCTTAAAAAAAAGTAATAAAAATTAAGGATGGCTAAGGATGTATCACACAACAGGTTCTTAATGCTTATTGGTGCTGTGGCAGTACAAGCAGCATGTAATTATCATATTCTTCTTAAAAAGCCCATGAGTATAATCTCATCAAGGATAATTTGACTAAAATTAGTGTAAAGTATTCTATCAGTCTTAAAACTCAGATTTTTATTTTTAAAAACACTTGGAAGTGTATTTGTTTTGTATAAATGGTCACCACAGCATCAAACCTATGTATGGCATTGTCGTTTTTCTGTAATGTTAGTAAGCGTGGGTTTCGTATAGAGAAATGTGAACCCAGCTTGCTACAGTTCTGTCCTTCACTTTGCCTTTTTTTTTTTTTTTCATCCTTTCCCATATTGTGTCTCACATAATTCTTTTTCTTTGGTGCAGTGAGTGTCTATAATTTATTTCTGTCAAGTGCCTTGATGATTTCTAAATACTACGTTAGGTAAATGTTGTGCAGAATGCATCTCTTATATTGCTTTAATAGATGGATAGATTTGGAGTCTGTAATGGAACAAAATTCAGACATGATTATCACAAAAGTAATTAAGTTTAGACATCACAGTCTGAAAGGATTTGTTTTCTGCACTGTTTCATCAACGCAGGACCTGTATATGTTTAAAAATAGTGTTACTGATGGCTGACATCCTTAGATATTGAATGCTCTTTGATAACTAACCTAATATAATAGTTTATTGATTTGCCCACTTGTTTTAAGCTTATTTATTTAATTCTATCTCCTACTGTATGTCATTTTACTTCCAAACACAATATATATAATTTTCTAACTTGCATTTTATCTTCATGCATTCATTTCTTCTTTTTTTTTCTCAGCCAGTGAAAATGTAGTCATCAATCAATTGTTCCAGTCCAAGCTGACACAAACTGGATCACTTGTTCCTCCATATCATTCTCTTAAAATCAAAGGGTGTAAAGCAGCTTTGTTGAGTAAAAAACCATCAGTAGCCTGTGCAAGTGGAGAAGCAAAAAAATACATTGAGCTCAGCAAGGTGAGAATTTAGGACTCTTTCAGTTATTTGCTCCCTGAAGATTTTTCTGTTACTTTGTCATTCCTGAAAGCTCCTTGGTCTCTGCTTCATTCTTTGTAGTCATTAAACTATTAATATAATTTCATGCTTAATATCAACACTAAAGCAACAGTGAGAAGTAAGAGATTATAATTTACTAACACTACAAGGCTAGTTCAAGAACCTTTTTCTTGGACTTTCTGAGCAGAAGGTTGGACAAGATGATGTGGTCCCTTCAAGCCTGAATGATTCCATGATTTTGCAGTTCCAGGGCTTAGGTGGGTGCAATACTAGTACTGATTTTTAGCTGTGTATAGGAACACTTCTTTGTTATGTCTCCTTGGCTGACTTTATAATGAATGGTTAAGTAAATTAAGACATAGGAAGTGCAAAAAAACCACCCCTCAATGTCTTTATTGTGTTAACCTGAGAATATTTCTGATTTGCAAAAGACAGTTTGTGTGGTTTTGCATGAAGATCAATCTTGTACGTTTTGGCAAACATTGTTATTTTTAAATGATCACTTTTCCCAGTCGATTTGAAATCAAATCAAACTCTCCCCATTTCTGAACTTGTCTCTTTTTCTGATAGCTAAGTCAGACAAAAAAAAGTTAAAAAAAAACCAAAACCAAAACAACAATGAGAACAGGAGGGGGGGAACTTGGGAGGCTGTCAGAAAATTAATTGTTCATGTCACATGGAACATCTCTCTTTTGAGGAGAAAAACATGATTTACTGAGTCCATTCTTGACAGAGCTTTGGAATTCCTCCTTCTTCTAGAAAAGAAGCAAGCAGTTCTTACAATACATCAGCTGCCTCGCCAGGCTTCTTGAATCTTGCAACTCTATTTTTGGCTTACAGCTGCATAAAATTGATTCTGTCATGGGATTAAGGAGCCTGCTCTCATGTGTCATTGTGGAAGGCTTTATGCAAGTACATCCATAGAAGAGCGATGGGACTTTCCTTATATCCCCCCTGCTGATAGTAGCATAATTCCTGTCTACTGTTCTTGTCAGTAAACTCAGTGGAAAAACTTAAGTTGAAGTGAATGGTGTTGGTTTAAGGCTATATTTAGCAAACAGCTGAGGCATCCCAAGGTGCCTTTAGGTGCCTTTCCACTATAGTAACAGCTTCCTAGAGGAATCTTCCTAAGGCTGTGAAAAAGATCCTAGTCCCATACATGGAAGTATGAAAAGCACTTCTAAGTTAGAAGCCTAATCAAGCCAGAGGGAAACACCATACAGCTGGGGTCTCTGAAACTATGAGGTTTTTGACCAGTCCAGAATAGCTTTTAACCTGAAGTTACTCTCTTGAGAGACGGAACACATATTCAAATTCCTGTGGGAAGTGTGATAAATTAAGTCAGAAATTCCAGATTCAGTGAGAATGCTCTAAACTTTTAGGTATTAGATGGAAGGTGGGAAGAGCTTCATCCTTCATCTGCCCACAGAGACAAGGATGGCTTGACTTCTCAAAGGTAGGCTTTGAGAAGAGCTATACAGGTGAGACAGAACACCACTTAGTTTGTAGATACTAAGCTAGCCTAATTGAGCAAGGTACTGTGCTGCCCTGCAGGACGGAAGCAGAACTTTAGATATCTAAGCTGTTCAGTGGCAAAAAAAGAACACTTGTTATTTTGGAATAGGCACCTGCCGCAGGAGCTGGAAGTAGGTAAGTACTTAAATTCTTTTGTAGATCAAGCCTACATCTATAAATCTGCTGTCCCAAATAATTTCTTCTTTTTTCCAGTATAGCCTTGAAAATCCACTGTGGTGGGCTGGAGTAATGTTGATTTTGTTGTTTTGTTATTGGAAATGGGATGTAAGGGGCGTTTTCTTATCATCTTAGAATTACAATGACTATATGGAAAATCATAACCACTGCATTTTTATTGGAGTTTATCCTGAAGGTAAAGGCAATAATAAGAAAAAGAAAAAAAAAAGAAAAAGAAAGAGGGAGTGGGAAAAAGAGGGACATTAAGACAAGAATTATCAACCAGAGACTGGCATTCCTTTTATATCTGAAATTTGAGTTGTAACATGCATCGCCACTGCTTACAGTCAGTGAGAAATGCAAAATGGAAGGTATTCATGTTGCTGTGTATGAGTACTCATCTAGACTCCACCATATCCAGGGAAGAGTAGACACTTTCAGAGGTCAGATAGGAGTTTGCTGTGATTCCACTCCCCTTTCAGCTTGTCATCTGCAGTCCTTAGCTACTTGCTAGGTTATATAATTATAGATTTCTGTGTGTATGGCCATGTATCTTCCTGTTTACATTTCCATAAATGCCTTCTTGATTTTGAGCATGCTGTCACAGGTAAGGGTGGCATACCTCTTTGAACTCACCACTCTACTTCTAGTAGGGTCCGAGAGAACAGTGCACCTGTCCTAAGATAGACAGAAACAGATCTAATAGCAGGCTGGAATTTTGGAGCGTATAAGGAGTCATAGGAATTTGGGGATGCCAGATCAAGTCTCTGTGACTTATGAAGATTGTGTCCCCTTTTCAGTTAAAATAGAATATATCCTCATTGAAGATCTCACAACTCTTTTGCTCACATCAGCTCTTGCTCCCATGTTTTCCTGTAATCTTTTCCTAGTTCATAATTTGGCCCTGTTGCTTTCCCCTCTCTCAATGTGTTTCAGAGTTCACACAGCAGAAGTCTGGTCACATGAATGCACATCACTAACAGAAAGCTTTTCTTTCCATTGACTTTGCTTTGTTTCTCTTTGTGAACACTTTGCTTCATTGTCTGTTAGTTGAAGAACTCATCTATTGCAAAGCTTTTGGTATGTCTTCTGGTTAAAGCTTTAAAATATTCTGCTGGCAAAGAAACATTTTTTAGGAGGAAGTTTTAGCTTCTTAACAGAGATTACATAGTTACATATACGTATTTTTTTCTGTAGATTAGAGGTACAATATTTTCCAATGTAAAGCTGTATATTAAAGGTAATAGAGAAGTACAGCTTTGGTGATGTAGTCTTGTTACTTAGCCCATAGCTGAAGATATCCAAGTTTGGAGAGTTTGAATTAAATTCACTTTCTGTCTTTGCCTTGTTTCCTTTCTTTTCTCTCCCTCATTCTGAACCAAACATTTCTTTCCCATGGGAAGAAGTACGAAAAACAGGACAGCAGGAAGGAACTTTAGCATCCAAAGCATTGTTCCTAGCTCTTCCACTAACTCAGAAAGTGGTCTTGAATTAGTGACTTAATCTGTTGGGAGGAAGGGGTGAGTGCATTATCTATCAAGTGGAAAAAACTCTTATTTTGGTTATATTCCTCAATCATCTTGTAAACTTTAACTGAGAAGTGTCATTGGCATGATAGTGGTTCTTTTTATGAGAAGACCTGGAGCAAAAAGATCTCTTTTACTTTTCTGTTTTGAAGTTGGGGATGAATTTGCCTTTAAAATCGTGTTGCATCCTAGTAAGTGAGATTTGAAATAAAAAAGAGGTCCAAAGTTTAACATAGTGAGTAAAGAATTGCTTTCACTGTAGTATTTTTAATGGAGTTTGGCTTGAGTGGGCCAATGTACACTTTCTCGATGCAACTGGAAAAAGACAGAAGTAGGCCAGAATATTCTGACTTGATAGAAAGGGAGTTTTATAGGGTAAGTGGACTGGAGAAAAACAGTGGAAAAGACAGAGGTGAAAAGGTTGTTATTGATACAGAAGTTTGAATCTAAGAGCTTGGCCAAGTCCTGGAATGCCATAATTTTGCCAGCCTTCCTGTAGAAAGTTTAAGAAAAACCCCTAATTGCTGGGGCAACTTTTAGGATGATTATTGCCATTTCAGTCTCAAAGATAGGACGTAGGAGAGTAAAAAATAAATTTGTTCCTCACTCCCAACTCGGATGTATAGGATAACATCAGTTCTAATGAGATATTAAGTTATTGATAATTTATGTCTATAATGGGTGAAAACGGTTTAAAAAAAAGCAAAGAAAAAAAAAAAAAAGGTTAACTGCATTCACATACAGGAAGACAAGAGAAGAGGTTTTTTAATATTAATATTATTGTTTTGCCTTCAAGATTTTTTTTAATGATCTGTGCTTACATTTACTTACTTAAGCATCTGCCAAAGACATAAGGAACCTTTTCAGAGATTTAAAGACTGTATGGGATACTAACTGCACAAGTCCTGCTTCTGCAATAGAGTTCTAGATCACATTGCTTTGCCCGGTTATTTGGAAAAGGTATTTTATCTTTCCAATGGTATACAGCTGCTTTTGAAATCAAAACTTCCTTGCCAGTCATGGCTCTGCAGATACTTGAGGATATATATCCACATTCCCAATTCTTTCTGAAACTCAAATCATTGTCTATGACATACTATTTGTATAAATGTTTGCCTTTGTTAGCTAATTGTGTAACAATAAACATGAGTGTTTATTGCCCATCTTGAGATAAAGGTATTGTGTGTGTGCTTTTCTTCCCCACAGCTGTTGAAAAAGAAAGGAACATCCTCATTTCTTCAGAGACTGGAACGAGGGGGCCCAACCACTGTGGCAATACAGCTCAGGGTTAGTGAACATCTTCTGGATGTAAATATAAAAAAAAAAAAAAAAAAAAAAAGGCAGGATTAGTCTCTACAGATTGCAATGGAAGAAAGAAAAATCGTATACTTGAGAAAGCCACTTGCATGACCAAGTCAAGCCTTATGAGAAAATAATGTTAAAAAGTTAGGAAAAGCGTACATGTTGAGCAATGGCCTTTGCTGCACAATAATGATTGATAACTGATTTTTTTTCCCACAGAAATCACTCACAGATATTATTGGGAAGTTGCAGAACTGCACGCCACACTCTGTTCATTGTATAAAGCCTAATAACTCCAAGTTGCCAGATACTTTTGACAATTTCTATGTGTCTGCTCAACTGCAGTATATTGGTGTCCTAGACATGGTCAAAATCATACGACACGGGTATCCAATACGTCTCTCTTTCACAGACTTCTTGTCAAGGTAAATTTTTTGCGTTTCATAAAAACTTTTTCTTACCTACAGTGCAGTCTTCTGTCATGTTCTGGTAGTGCTTGAGGTGTTGTTTTGCTGATGAGTCTTTCAGACTTCAGAGAAAATTCATGCCTTCCAGCAAGACATGTAGGCTTGTTATTTTTTAATTGAAGGAATCATGAACTTTATGAAAATATGTTTATAAAGATCATCAGCAAAATGTATTCAATTTAAAAAATGTAACTTCATAAAACAGTTATATTTGTGTAATTTATACTATTTATATGATTTATAAAATACAAAATATTGCATATTGTCTCCAGGTAATTAAAAAGCAGAAGGTGACATAGTCTAATTTTTCGCGTTTATTGGTGTAGGTATCATGGGTTCAGTATTTGTATTTCAAATGCTAGGATTTGTTTCTGCATGGTGATGAGTTATTAATGTTCATACCACAACTCCATTTTTATTGTTATTGTTGTTAGAAATGAGTGAAATTTTGAATTAATATGAAAAGACAAAAAGATATATGCCACTGCTTCTGGCTGAAAGCAAACT